CCTTCAAGTGGTGCTGAGGAGGATGAAAAGGCTGTCAATCCAAAGTTTAATGTGCATGAGGAGTTTGGTCATGTACACTTAGAGCTGGGGATGGAGTTTGTGAGTCTTCAAGAATTTAAAAATGCTGTCAAAGACTACAATATTAATCTAGGAAGACAATTCAAGTGGCTGAAGAATGACAAAGTCAGAGCCCGAGCAAAGTGTAGTAATGATGAATGTGATTGGATGATTTACTGTGCGTGGAACAACAAGATGGCAGCTTTCCAAGTCAAAGCTTTTAATGACATCCACACTTGCTGCAGACTTTTTAGAAATAAGAGGGCAAGTAGGGATTGGGTTGCAAAGAAATTAGAAAAAAGGCTAATGACACAGCCGAACATAACAAGGGCTGAGGCCTACGACCACATGAAAGAGGAGTACAAAGTTCATGTCCATTTGAAGAAAGTGACAAAGGCACTTCATAAAGCCAAGGCCAAAATAGAAGGGGGTGAAAAAGAACAGTATGCAAAATTGAGAGACTACTTAGGTGAGCTATTGAGAAGCAATCCATGGTCTACATGTCAAATGCAAGTGATCCCACAACCTGATCCGCACTCCTCACCCATATTTTCTAAGTTGTACATTTGTCTGGATGCATGCAAGATATGGTTCAAAGCTGGCTGCAGGCCCTTAATTGGTTTGGATGGATGTTTCTTGAAAGGATATTATGGAGGTCAATTGTTAAGTGTAGTTGGGGAGGATGCCAACAAAAGCTTCTATGTCATCGCATATGTAGTTGTTGATAGTGAAACAAAAGAGAACTGGAAGTGGTTTTTAACCCTTTTACAGGAAGACATTGGCCCTCACGCAGTGTTTGGGTGGAATTTTATTTCTGACCAACAAAAGGTTTGTTTTGCTTATTTTATTTATTTACTCTGTTTTTCCTTCACTGAATCTGATCTCACTGTATTGCTTATTGGTTTTTTTTTTTTTTTTTGTGTCTGTGTGTATGGGCTGATTCCAGCACTGCAAGAGGTGATGCCTGATGCATATCATCATTTTTGTGTGCAGCATTTTTGGAAGAACTTCATAAAGCAGTGGAAAGACAAGGCAATTCGAGCCATGGTCTGGGAGTGTTAAAGATGCACCACTGTCCCACAGTTCCAGCAGTCAATCACACGGTTGAAAGGGAAGAATGAGGCTGCATGGAAGTACTTGGATAACATTCAGCCCTCAAGTTGGGTGAAAGCTTATTTCAGCCACTGGCCGAAATGTGATAATATCACAAACAACATGGCAGAGGTATGGAATGCCAAGATTGTTGGATATAGGTCAAAACCAATTATCACTCTATTAGAGGAATTGAGATGCTACATTATGAGGAGGATGGCTGCACATCAGAGGGTGTTAGGAACTGTTCGAGGTAAAATTGCTCCTGCTCAGCAAAAGAAACTGGATCAGTTAAAGGTACTTAGCAATTCATGGACACCAACTTGGATTGGAAATCTGCAGCAAGATATGTATGAGGTCAGTGGGAGAGGTGATAGAGTTGGAGTGAATTTAACAACACATACATGTGCATGCAATGCATGGCAGTTGACTGGACTGCCTTGTGAGCATGCTATAGCAGCCATTTGTCACAAAAACGAACCAGCCGAGAACTATGTCCATCAATGGCTTACAATGGATGCATTGCATGCCACATATGCGCACACCTTAAACCCAGTGAATTCGGACAAGTATTGACCTGCATCTGATGAACCCAAACCTCTTCCACCAAAACTTAAAAGGCCAATTGGGCGTCCCAAGAAACACAGGAAGAAGGACCCAACTGAAGACCAAGGGAGCATGACAAAGAAAGTCAAAAGGACATATGCAGCCAAGTGTACTAAATGTGGTCAGACTAGACACTATGCCAAGAGTTGTAAGGGGCCACCAGCTTCTAAAACAGATAAAAGCCAAGCAAGACCACAATCTGTGAGGACTGGCTCTGACTCAATAGATGAAATCCCATTAAGTCAAGGAGGCCCTTCAGCAGTTGGTAGTTCTCAACCCCATCAAGGCAACTTGAGAGGAGGTAGCCCACTGTAACAGCCTCAAACCCTGTAGCATGATATTGTCCGCTTTGCCCTGCGCACAAGCACCGTCGAGCTCATGGTTTTGTTTCTTGGGACACCCCACAAAAGGCCTCACACTAGAAGAGGTATCCACACCCTTATAAGGCATGCTTCGTTCCCCTCTCCAACCGATGTGGGACATTACATCCTCCCCCACTGGGAATACAGCGTCCCCGCTGTACACACCGGTCCAGGGCCAGGCTCTGATACCAAATGTAACAGCCCCAAACCCTGTAGCATGATATTGTCCGCTTTTCCCCGCGCACAAGCACCGTCGAGCTCACGGTTTTGTTTCTTGGGACACCCCACAAAAGGCCTCACACTAGAAGAGGTATCCACACCCTTATAAGGCATGCTTCGTTCCCCTCTCCAACCGATGTGGGACATTACACCCACCTCCTTCAATTCTAGAAGAAGAAAATGCAGTGTTGACTGAAGAGACAATGAAGGCAGCAAGCAGTGGCACACGAAGCAGATTTTTGCACTTCATGACAACACCTGGTTTCAGGCCACCAAGGCCATCCTCAACAAAATAAGCTGCTGATGAAGAAGAACAAGGGAGTAGTGCATGAGCCAACTAACAAGGAGTGGATATCATGGGATTTTTTTGTAAATTCTGGCCATTTGTTTTTGGAGGCCTTATACAGTTACAATGTAATTTTTTTATGTATGGCCATATTGTATTTATAGGCCTCACTTATGATTCCTATTAGTTGGCTTTTATTTGTAATGCACTACTGGTTTCTAGTTCTAGGAAGACAATTATGTGTAACTGGTTATATTCTGGATATGCATGTTATGTGGCAGGGTTGATGAATGTGATAATTTCATGTCCATTTTATGTTTTTAACTGAGTTGGTCAATTAGCTGAGGCATGGTCATGTAGCTGCCATATTTTCTGGTTACTGGTCATTCCATATGGCTTTACTTTTGGATGTTAAGTGCAATTTATTTTGGTTCACAGGTTGATGAATGTTGCAGCTATTATGTGGCAGGGTTGATGCATGTCATAAGTGCATTTTCTGGTTCTTATGTTTTTTAAGAGAGTTAGCTTGTTGTTGGTCATTTAGCTGCCATATTTGCATTCTGGTGCAGGTTTGTGCTGTGTTACTGGCAAAACAGATCATGCCCAATTTTCTGGTTACAGGGACCAATTAGGACCCCGACATTCATTGTGAGGGACCAATTTGGACCCCTGCATACTGCATTTCTGATGTTAAGTGCATTTCTGATGGCAAAGCATATAAGTCAGGGACAAAATATGTTTCTGATGTTAAAATGAGTGCTGCATTTTGTTGATTTGGACATCAAGAACTCATGTCCTATAATTCTGGAATCAGGGACCAATAAGTGCCCCGTGCACTTTGTCAGGGACCAAAACGACCCTCGAGTAACATTGCTAGGGACCTAAATGGTCCTCGTGTTTTGCAATCAGTAACAAAATATGCATAACAGTATGCAACTTCTGCATCAGCAATGTCATGAGTTATGCATCTATATTAGTAGCAATCTACATCTGTTTGTGATACAATGTAGCAATCTTTTATCCTTCAAGGCTTTTTTAATAATACACACAAACAGATTGGCACTAACACATAATTTGTATAACATAAAGAAGGAATACTCATTACAATTCACTGAAGGAAAAATACATTTGGGTCACTCGTTTTTACCTTTACCACACTAACAACAAACATACAGATCATGATCACACCAACACAAGCACCTAAGACCCTAGCTGACCTATCAACTATCCTAATTTTTCTGTCCATCCTATCTAACTCCTCCACCATCTTCAGGTATACATCACTCAGTTTTCTTTCCTGCTGATGAAGCTTCATTCCTTGCTCAGTAATCTTCACATCTTGCTCTCTCATCATCATCTCCACATATTTCAACTTGAAGTTAATTTCAGCAACATCCAACTCCACAGTGTGAATTCTTGCTTCTTCCAGCTCCATGGGTTCATTACACATGTCATCTCCCATATAAAAAAATCACAATAGGGCTTCTTCTCCTGCAAAAAAAAAAAACCACGGTTAGCAAGTGTTCCAACTCAATAAAGGGGCAGATTACAAATTCATACCTTGAAATTAGGACAACCAAGGAAAACCCTGTTTGGGTTCCTCTCAGTTTTGGAGGTATAAACAATACTTTGTCTCCCACATTTGCACCTCCAACCGCCGGTCCTTGTCATTGTTCTTCCCCTATTGATTTACTCCCACTTGATCCCCCCATGCCAGAAGAAACACTCATCTTCTCCCACGCCCAGAAATTCGGTTGATGGGTTTTACTGTCGTCGAGTTTCAATCATCAAAGTGCAGACATTTTGGGGGTGTATTGCTGTTTAGGGGATGGAGTTTCCGGTTTAGGGTTCGATTTAAGGAATTTGGGGTTTTTTCATTATTAGGGTTCATTATCAGAAGAGGAAACGACGTCGTCGTCTCCATTACACACATTGCAACCCATTTTCAAGAAAACGTCGTCGTTTGTAGTTCCAACGTGTCTAACGTCTAGTCCCCGTCATCAGACGTGCCCCGTCCACATGGGCACCGTTAGTTTGACCGTGATGGAGAAGTTGACAGAAAGACTAACGTGACCCTTTTTTTTCATAATTTTAGGGACCAATTTGGTCCTTTTTTATTGCCAGGAACTAAAAAGAATTTCGTAGATATTGCCAGGGATCAAAAATGGTGTTTACTCTAAACAAATTTGATTAATGAATGTATTTTTACAATTTCATTATTTGTGAAATGATTTTCTCATTCGATAAATAATTAATAAATTATAGAATCAATTGCAATGCAACCCATAGTTCCATAACTAAATCTCATATAAATGGAAATTTTACTGTTCCGATCCCGGTTTTAATACACTGGTTAATACCACCACCAATCCAAAGTTTTAAAATCTTGAAAGGAAGAAAAGGCAGAATTTTCGCATAAAAAAACAGAAAGTGAATCGACGAGGAAGCAGGGGGGGAGTGGAGAGAAGAAGCCGCCGCGTGATGACAACCGTTAAGTGATTGGTGACTATGTGTGATGTGGCCTCATCATAGCTCTTTGATTCATCCAAAACCAAAATTCCCCATTTGCCATTTGTCTGACTGAGTCTTCTCTTCTCTTCTCTTCTCTTCCTCTCATTCTCATCTGATTCTGAATCTAGCAAGGAGCACAAGGTACCTCTCGTCGTTTCCCTCTCCCAATCGCCAGGTACGTCTTGTCGTTTTGCTTCAATCATTCAAACGCTATATTCCCTCATCATCTACTATCGCGGATCCCGAAAACATTCAGTGATTTTTTCATCATAGTATTTGTGGTTCTGAGTTTTTGTGTTAACATCGATTCGTTCGTATTATGTGTCGTCTGGAATGTTTTATGTTCGATTCGTATAGTATGATGGAGGATTTTTATTATCCATATATTGCAGTGATTTGAGAGTGTCATGAAATTTGACTAGCGGGAATGCATGTGCTTGAGTGAAAGGCTTCATTGCTTATTTGATTGAGATATTGAGATTACGATGGCCTCAGCTGTCTTGAATTTCATGAACACTACAATAGATTGGGTGAAATTTGCTTTAGATGCACCTTCTGCGCGAGCTGTAGTTTTTGGAGTCCATATCGGTGGTAATCTTTCTTATACTGAACTTGAATAGCTTCTTCTTCTTCTACGATTATAAATGTGATTGATTAACTTAATTAATTAATTTTCACCATTATTAACTTTTGTTTGAAGGACATTTATTTATCGAAGTTTTTCTCCTGGTGGTCATACTTTTCTTGCTTTCCCAGAAAAGTTACAAGCCTCCTAAAAGGCCCTTAACAAACAAGGTTAGTTCAACAGTACTATCTCTCTGTGTGCCCGCGGGCATGTGCATTTTTTATATATACATTCAATTTATTTGATGAATGTGTTAGCTGTGAAGAGCTGATATATTGCTTGTGTAGACTTTTATGTGAAAATAAATTTGACATTTGGTAGATTATCAATGTGATTTTTTCCATATA